GGACTCCTGCCAACATCCTGCCTGCCTCCGGACGCCTCCGGACCATCAGCTACCAGCCATAAGGAACACCCAAAAGAATGCCAGCTTTGTCGTTTCAAAAAGCCCCAGACCCCAAGCAGTGGTGTCCCAGGGTAAGGGAACATGCCAGGCAGGCTGTGTGCAGTCCCATCCTCTCTCCTCTCCCCGGGATCAGCTTGCAGGATCGAAAGGGACCTACTGAGATCCCATCCCGGCTTGTCCCCATCAACCAGCTACCCCTCCAAGTGCAAACCCTCGAGCTCATGCACACCCTCGCCCGGCAGAGACAAAAATGGGAACAGAGCCCAGAGAAATGGAAGTAAGAGGGCCAGTTTTTCCATGGGACTTTAGGTGCTGCAAGGGAACGAGCTGTGTTTTTCTATCCAATTGGGGTCACACACACACACACAGGTCCCCTACAGGAAGGTGTATTCCTGCTACCTTCCCAGCAGCACCAGCGGCAACACTGGTGGCAGGAGATCAGTGTGGTGGCCGCCCAGAAATCTGCGGTCAGCCATGTGTCCTCTGAGTCTCTCACTCTGATCACACCTCCAGGAAGGAAGTTAATCTGTTTGAGAGGGCTCCCTGTGTAGACGTCAGCACAGCTGTGGTCTTCTCTGAGAAACAGTGCAAGGGGTTCCTTGAAGGAACATCCCAGCAGGGGTGGGGACACTCAACGACAAGCTTCCACCAGGACCCCCAGGACACCCAGAAGCACCTTCCACCCACAGGTGTGAATGCAGTGCTGAGCCCCCGGGGGCACCCACATGGGAAAGAGAGCCACGATTAAACCCAGCAGTATAGCCGTCACTGGCCGTCCACCAGAGTCGGGTCATTACTAACAAAGCTAACACTGTTAGAGTAATTAATACAGACGCTGATTATTAAATAAACTATCAATACCTATACACATCCTTATTTTTTTTTTTAAGTCCTTGCTTCTTAACATTCAAGCTGTGACCGTTTCTGGGATGCCTTCAGAGTCCAATAAGAGTAATCGTGTGCATTTTGAATAACTGGTTTTGCTCGTTACAAAAATGATACACGTACATTACAGAAAATTTAGAAAATACAGAAGTTTAGGGGCACCTGGGTAGCTCAGTGGGTTAAGCCTCTGCCTTCGGCTCAGGTCATGATCCCAGGGTCCTGGGATCAAGCCCCGCATCCGGCTCTCTACTCAGCAGGGAGCCTGCCTCACCCGCCCCATCTGCCTCTCTGCCTACTTGTAATCTCTGTCTGTCAAATAAATAAATAAAATCTTTAAAAAAAATAAAAAAGAAAATACAGAAGTTTAATATCACCACCCCGAACCCACCATCCAGAAATATACCCTAGAATCTGGATTTCCCTCCAGTCCCTTTTCTGTAGACACGTCTGTGGTGTCCACGTGTTGGTGGGTTTTGTTTGCTCAGACAGAGATAATTTTGCTGAGGCCTGAATTTCAATCCTGCCCCTGGGAGTTTTGGTTAAATGGGAAGTCCCTGGTCCCCCAGGGGCCAGCCTCAGCAGAGCCCTGCTTCCTCCTGGTGTCGTGCATGGGGATGCGTATGAGGCCACACGTGACTGGACTTTACAGGGGAAATCACATGCTGCTGTGGCGTGTGGGTGCCGGGAAAGGTCCCAGAACATACCCCCCACCCCACCCCAGCAAACGCTGAGAGTGGACTGTGCTTTGGGGGAGGGTTTATTCCTACCTCGATCACCATCTTATTGTTTTCCATTTGTATGGCAGTAACAGGGAAGCTCCCGGGTACCTCGTAAGTCTTCTGTACTTTGCACTCTAAGAGCGAGGGCCTCCGCACCGAGCTCTGCAAACACAGCTGGTAGGCAGCGAAACCATTCGGGTCACTCGCGTGTTTACTGTGTTCTTTCACGTTCCATCCTCGAACGGCGCTAGGACACAGCAAGATCCCTGAGGAAGGATGACTATTAACTGTGGCGCTGAAAGAAGTCCTGCAGACCCATAAGAAAGTGCCACCAATACAGCGGAATATGCGGAGCTGGTGCCAAGAGGGGAAAAAAAAAGGCTCCAAAGGCTTGCGGTCCAGGGGGTCTGTTCCCCGGGCAGCCTAGCTCAGCAGCGACACCGTGCGGTGAGAGGCGGTGGAGTCCCAACAGCACAGAGTGGGTTCCGGGAGCCCTGAGCCAGCGCAGGCATGGAAACTGCCGGGCCTGTAGGGGACAGATCTAAGGATGGGCCCTGGGGTACAGATGCCGGGAGGCCAACATCCTCTCCACGTGCCTTAATTCCAGGCAGATCCATGAGATCTAGTAGGAAGGCTACAGGAAAGAAAACTAAACAGAACGTACCACCCAGCTCTCTTCCCAGTCTGTCATCCCAAACGCTCTGCAAACGCTGAGCCACCTGCACAATGAAGGGCTAGAAGATGCTCCCAGATGTCTCCAGGTCGGCGTAAGGAGACGACCCCGAGGAATTACGCAGCTGCCTCCAGAAAGGCCATCGAGGGGGGGCTCAGTCTACCTTCACATTCATTGCACGATAAGTGTATTTCAGGAAAACATACTCTAACTCTCTGAATTCTTGTATTTCCTTTAACTGCAGATTCAAAGTCTTCTAGGAGGAGTCGATAAAATGAAGAAACGAGGACATACACAGCAACCGCACATTCACACCCTCGGTGCCTTGGGCTCCCCAAGAGAAAAGGAAGTCGGAGAAGAGCAGTCGGGAGAAAAAGCAAAATCCGCAGGAAAGATCCGAGGGCAACCAGACCAAGGGAAAATCCAAAAATGGGAAGAGAACATTTCTGAAACTTGCTCTTTCCCCAAGTTATTATGTAAAGAGGAACCTGGTAGGCTTGGAGTCTGTGTGGGGCATCTGTGTGTCCACATATAGAACAAATAACTTGCTGTAATCTCGTTCAACACTTCATTCCCAAGGTTTGTGAGTGAGGGTCCCCAATCACTAGGGGAAACGTATCCCCGCACCCACAGGCAGTCTGAAGAATGGAACAGACAAAACTAGGAAGCATCTACTGGTACAGTAATATAAGCAGACACACAACACAAACCCTCTGCTTAGGTGTTTCAGGTCATACCCACCCTAAAGAACCACGGAAATGCCTAGAGTTTCAACCTTGAGAACACGGTTTCCTCCTCACTGATACATCCAGAGGGGCAAGTCCCAAGACCAGTGCGGTCGGAATTCCCAGGAAAGACCACCGAGCACTGCCAAGGGCCAGCCTGGTCTATCTCGCTCCGGGACCTCAGAACAGCAGGCCTTTCCTCACATATCCAGTCTCAGCCCTCTAAGACCAGGAAAGGAAGGAGAGAGAAGATTTAGGAGAATAACAGTCACAGCTCCCCTGGGACCAGTAACCCTTACCCACGAGGCTCTGCCCCATCCCTCCACTGTGGGAGGATGGCAGGTGGGCTATGTATAGGAGGGGAAGTTCTGAGGACCCACTTTATTTTAATACAAGTCACAAGACGGATCTGTTGCTTTTCCTCCTATTAACTGAACATTGAAAATAGAGACAGACGATGTGGAGTTCTGAGTCCCGAGATAAAGGCACAAACCAAAGTCATACCATGAATCCCCAAGAGCACCCATTAAAAAAAGAGTCCTGGGCACCTGGCTGGCTCAGTCAGAAGAACATGGGACTCCTGATCTTGAGGGTTGTAAGTTCGAGTCCCACATTGGGTAAAGAGATTACTAAAATAGATAAACTTGAAAAAAAAATTTTAATAAGAAAATAAAATAAGGAGAGTGCAAACTGGCTAAACACCATAATGAAAATGCAATAAAGGGATACTTCCTAAATGAAAAAAAATCATCCGTTGTAATATCATTCATTTTTAAAATTTAAAACATTACCCGGTATCTTTTTAGGTATCAGGCACTTTTGGGTACATTATACACACGTAACCTATTAAAACTCCAAATTATCTAGTAATATTAATAATTGAACTGTCTTTTAAATAATATAATTTGTACCAAACTTTCACAGATATTATTTCTTGTGAACTTCATACAATCCCATAAGGTATCCTAATCTTTTTTATTTTTTAAGATTTTACTTATTTATTTGAGAGACAGACATCACAAGGAGACAGAGAGGCAGACAGAGAGAGAGCAAGGGAAGCAGGCTCCCTGCTGAGCAGAAAGCCCAATGCGGGGCTCAATCCCAGGACCCTGGGATCATGACCTGAGCTAAAGGCAGAGGCTTTAAGACTGAGCCACCCAGGCGCCCCAAGTTTTTTCTTTTCAAGGGCAAGCAGGTACGTCTGGTGTTTAAATTCAGCGGGATGATCAGGCATTTGCTGAAACTGCAGGGTTATATCACACTAAATTCACAAATTTCCCTATTAGGGGAGATAGGAAGAAGACCTCCGAATAATTTGCCACAATCAGTAAGAAACCGACAGCTTGGCAAAGCAAAGGCATTAGCAGGAGACACCCCAGAGAATCTGGCCAACTGCCCAAACCAGGTAACAACCACAGGCATCAAATGCAGACAAAGTCCAGGAAAACTCCTGAATACCTTCCCAGCTCCGCGGGCATTTTCCTTTCAGACACCACTAAACCCTAGGAACTGAACTCGGAGCCCCTTCTGCCACAAGATGGCAGACATCAGCACGAATGAAACGAAACTTGGGATTTTTCCCATCCAGACATTCCCTGAGAAAGACCCGGATCAAAACAAAGGTCTTTAATCCCAAATGAATCAACTGTGGTTTCCAAATACACTCTTGGCACATGAAAGAGTGACCCTATGCCCCCTAAAGTGGATAGGCCGTGCCCTTTCAGACAGAACAGCTTCTAAACTCCAACAGTCTTCTCTCCTTCCCTTGCACACAAACCCCAAAAATACCAGTTATACTTGGATATCTTTAAGATGGTTCCCGACCCCAAAGGCAAAAGAGAAACAGAAATCAAAATCGAGACCACGGAGAAACAACAGGGACACCACATGGAAGAGAGGCAACCGAGGCGTCCCCTTCCTGCCAGAGCAGACACTCACCTCGGCCGCAGGCAGCAAGTAAAGAGGTGTTAAGGCAGGAACTTGTTTTATGTCACAGTTTAGGCCGAGCGTTGTCAGTATCTCCCTAAGGACTTCATATCTTCTGATATTGCTTGATTTGAGCAGATCAAAGTCTTCCGGGGCTTGCACCGCTGCAGAACTGGGAGGCAGTTCTAAGTGCGCCTGAGGGAAAAAGACACCGCTTCGTAAGTCGTGAATCGGGGACACCTGCCGACCTTAGGAGAAACAGCGTTTCTCCTAACCTGTGTTTCTGAAAACCTCAACAGAAATCCTTCTGATCATCAACAGTATGTAAACGTTGAATTTGACCGTTTGGAGAGTCGTGACAAGCAGTAAAAAGATTCAAAGGAGCCGACTGAAATCGCGGCGGTCGGGCGGAAAGGCGGTGCTGGACACGAGCCTGGAGAGGAATCAGACTCTGTCCGGGTTCTGACTTGCACCACTAACCAGGGGACCCTGGTCAAGTTGCTTAACTTGATTAGTCGACAAACCACAGACCATAAGAGACTCTTAATGCTTACTGAGGGTTGCTGGAGGCGTGGGGTGGCTGGGTGATAGACACTGGAGAGGGTATGTGTTGTGGTGAGTGCTGTGAATTGTGGGAAACTGATGAATCACAGACCTGTGCCCCAGAAATAAGTGATGCATTATGTTAAAAAAAAAAACCAAAAACTTAGAAATAGGATTGTGCTGAGACGCCAACTAAAGTCACTCTTGAAGGGGCGCCTGGGTGGCTCAGTGGGTTAAGCCGCTGCCTTCGGCTCAGGTCATGATCTCAGGGTCCTGGGATCGAGCCCCGCATCGAGCTCTCTGCTCAGCGGGAAGCCTGCTTCTTCCTCTCTCTCTGCCTGCCTCTCTGCCTACTTGTGATCTCGGTCTGTCAAATAAATAAATAAAATCTTTAAAAAAAATAATAATAATAAAGTCGCTCTTGAACCCCAGGAGGCACGATGGGTCATGTGAAAACTCGCACCCTACATGTTAGTCATGACCACCGGGAAACAATACCAGGAAGGAGAGGAACCTCGTTCACCTTTGTAAGCATGTTTGCAGGCATTCAAATCGAAGAAGTGGGGTTTGGGGGACCCCAGAAATGCCCGCCCCACCACCCTCCCTCACCTGGATTGAATTTAAGATTCAGGACTTCATTTATCTAGTTCGGGTTTCGTGGTCCACTTAAAATTAAAACAGCCCCGTCTAGGGGCGCCTGGGTGGCTCAGGTAGTTCAGCAACTGCCTCGGGCTCAGGTCTTGATTTCAGGGTTTCTGGGACCAAGCCCCACATGGGGCTCCCTTCTCAGCAGGAGTCTGCTTATTCCTCTGCCCCTCCCCCTGCTCATGCTCTCTCTCTCTCTAATTAATAAAATCTTTTTAGAAAACAATAATAAATAAAAGAGCCCCACCAATCAACAGTCTGTCTTGTTCTGAAGGAACATGCTAGAACTTCCAGCTCCTTTCAGCTAGAAATTTCCAATCAGTGGTGTGTGCTTTGGTATAAACAAACAGACTAGAACTTCTCGTCCTCTTGAGATCAGATTTTAACCAGCCATTAGAGCCGTGGAAGGTGCCAGAATACTGAGCAACTTAAGCATGTTGGCTTTATTTTATTTCGCTTTTGCCAGGGATGAGCTGTGGATTCCTGTTGTACGCAGGGCTCCTGACCTGATGTTACAGGAACATGATGAAAACAAAAAGCAAGAGGTCAGCCTTCAGGCAATGTAATCTCTTTCAATTCCCACCAAAGACTTAACCAAGTCAAAAACACTGTCCAAATGTCCTGTCCAAAATGGTCCAAATGTGCAAAGTTGATGCCAATCTGAAAAGGTTCATAGAGACGGTCCAGCATGTCCCACGCTATGGCGGGCCAGCTGAGGGCTGCTCCTGTCGTCCAGGGGCAGGAGTGAGTCTGTCCTCCAAACAGCTGTGGAGAGAGACTCAGGCAGAGAAGAGAAATCCTTCAAGGCATCCGAATCCGAGTCCCTTTTATCCCTGCGTTCTCTCCCTAACTGCAGCCTCTCCTCCCCAGCGGACAAAGCCAGTGGTTCTCCTGGAGAGGACCCCTTACAGGTGGCAGAAATAAAACGAGTGACGTTCTTCCCCGACCTCGGCCCAGAGGAGAGGGCGTGAGTGTGAGGAATGACACACGTGCACCCCAGGCTAAGTGAACACAGAAGACCCAAGAAGCACCCAGAGTGAGGTATGTGGAACTCACAGTCACACATGAGTGAGGCCCAGGAGGAAAAGGAGGGCTCACCCTACAAGCAGACCTCCAGAGCTCCAGGAGGTAAGAGAAAGGACAGCCACTGGCGGGCCTGTTGGCTCAGTGGGTTAGGTGTCTACCTTCAGCTCCAGTCAGGATCTCAGGGTCCTGGGATCAAACCCCACATCAGGCTTCCTGCTCAGGGAAACTCTGCTTCTCCCTCTCCCTCTGCCCCTCCTGCTTGTGTTCTCTCTCACTTCTTTCTCAAATAAATAAAATCTTTAAAAAAAAAAAAATTAAGAGGGGCGCCTGGGTGGCTCAGTGGGTTAAAGCCTCCGCCTTCGGCTCAGGTCATGATCCCAGGGTCCTGGGATCGAGACCCGTGTCGGGCTCTCTGCTCACTGGGGAGCCTGCTTCCTCCTCCCTCTCTGTCTCTCTCTGTCTCTCTGCCTGCCTCTCTGCCTACTTGTGATCTCTCTCTGTCAAATAAATAAATAAAATCTTAAAAAAATAAAAATTTTAAAATTTTAAAAAATTAAGAAAGAATGAACAACCACTGGCGTTGTGTGAGGAGGGCTTTTGCAGGCTTTGACAGCTGCTGCTTTGACAACAGAAGCAGCGAGACCTCCTCCTGCTCTATACCTCAGTTCACAGGACAGACAGTGTCTGCTTCGGGATTTGCACTCCTGGTCCTCCGTGGGCCCCAACACGCACCTCATCCCCCAGCTAGAATACTGTTACCATACTGATGGGCCCATTTCTACACCTTGGCTTCTTCTAAAGTTAAGGCCTTTTGAACTAAAATCTCCAATCACAGACGGAGGGAGTGGAGGGCGGTTAGCTGCTTGTGGGCAGTAGCTAGAGGGTAGCAGGCCGCTAACACCCTACAGAGCATGGCCCGGAGGACTCCATGACAAAACGGGATCCACCTGAAACGTCAACAGCACCAGGGATGAGGAAATAAAAGTACTTTTAAGTCCATGTGGGCAACTTCGTGCCAAAGTCCTGGTCCATTCAATGATCCAATGTCAGCATTAACCTTCAGCCGTAAACCTCCCCTGCAAACGCAATCGTCACAGCAAGAACATGAGAATGTCCTTCCTCCTCGTGACGGGCAGTCAAGGCGTGCACATGCAGCTCCTTGGCCGCCAGACCACTGCCCACCACACGGCTGTGGTCTGCCCTTGAAGTGCTCTGCCCCTCTTACCGGGTTACATCATTACTCAATTTATTAGCAATGAAGACTGTGAAATTGACCAGGGAAAGAGGAAAACTAACCAGCCCACAGTAACATTCACTGGCCGCTCCTGGCGGCGAGGTATTGTAGTGACACCGGTCTGAGCCAAAAGCAGTGACCCTGTCACACAGAGACTGGAAGTCATTTAAAATCAAAAACGACATTCTAATCCTCTGAATCTGATTTTTGAAGCTGCATCATATTGCCTTTTTTTTTTTTTCTAGACCAATGCCTGCAGTATCAAATTTTATGACGGTAACAGGGTCAATTTAAATGGTGCGGCAAGTGCAATGGCCATGTCACTCAGAAAAATGGATTGCAGCGGTGCCGAATCAATTTTCTAGTACAAGTCTGCGCACAGAGGTGGTAAAAGTCACTATTCAAAACTGAAATATGGCTCTAGGAAGTCGGGTTTTTAAGTGGATTTTCTGAGAATGCACGGTTGCTATAGTTACCATCTTTGCAGAGAAAAAGATAAGAGGAACATTTATTACGCCTCCAAATGGATTCATGTGCTTTGTGGCCTACGTGAAACCAGCTTGGCTTGTATCGTTCATCTATCCTGCTGTCCAGATTTCTTAATTATATGCATCTTTGCCTGAGCATTATCTTAAGAACAAATGAATGGGCTTTGGGATAGTAAAGGAAGAAATTTATGACCCCCTGAAGAATGTTTGGTCAGAAAAGCCAAGAGACTTAGCTCCTAGGACAGCATATGAAATGAAAATAAATAACAAAAAAAGGAAACGATTCTCCAACTCAATAAAACAAAAAATCCCTATAATAAAATCTCTAACACTCATCCTGGGAACTATTTTGGGTAAAATATCTACATCTACTTAACTTTCTCTTTAGATAACAAATCCTTAAGGACAAGGGCTCATCTAACTCTAACAAAAACTTTCCACCTTAAAGCATTAAAAAGTTTGCAGTCGATGATCAGGAATTTGGAAACAGTCTATCCTGCTCCCACCGGCTTAAACAAACAAACAAAAAAGGAACAGGGGGGAAAAAGAAAGCGGGGACAAAAAACAGGAGATGAGCCAAAGGATTTGGGAAGAGGGGGGTAGCCTGACCCTTCCTTTCCCTTTCCACTTTCTCCTTACCTATATAGAGCTGAGACTTGAACAACGTGGGGGTGAGGGGCACCGACCTCTCTGTGCAGTGGAAAGTCCGCATATAACTTTCAACTCTCCAAAAACTTAACTACTAACAGCCTACTGTTAACTGGAAGCCTCACTGATAACATGGTCAATCATTTTGTATATTACACATATTATATACTCTATTCTCACAATAAAGTAAGCTGCAGAAAACCATGCAGAACAGAGAATACATTTAGAGTACTATATCGTATTTAGCCCAAAAATGCCGCACAAGTGGACCCACGTGGTTCAAAGCCATGTTATTCAAGGGTCAGTTGTATTAATGTGCCATAAATTTAAGCCGCTTCAATATCCTATCTGAAATTTTCTCGGCACTTAAAGATTGACAAAATCATGAAAGAACTAGGACTTAGTAAGTTTTCCACACTCACTACCACACAGTTGGTGGGCATTCACACAACCCCCGCCATCGGCTACGAGGTTGTAATGTGAGGGTTATTAGCACTGAAAATCACCAGCCCAAGGTGCTCTCAACTCCCTACATTAATTAAAAGGTTCGAGTATATCAACCACAGTCTGCTTTGAGACAAGAGAGTAGACTAATGCATTTTGGAAAGCTTATTACCAGCATAGATCAAAATGAGAGAATTTTCTAATTCTCGGTTAACCAGCAGCCCTTAATCAGCCATGACACCTTCTGCTGTGTTCCTCCATCCCGAGTGTTTTGGTGAAATGGTATATTCATGTGGCAGGAAAGCCCTCGTCTAAACCTATTCAGCATCAGCAAAAACTCCCAGCCAGGGATCCAAAGTGCCCAACAGAGCACAGACACTTGACCCTTTTGGTGTTTGGTCTTAAAGAGCAAACTCACTGTCAGGTCCCCAGAGATCCCCACACGGATGCCAGCTCCGTACCTGGCAAAGGACAGCTTCTCCTCCATGTTCTCCAAAAGGCACCTGCACTATCAGCCTGTCCTTGTCTTCATTCTCCAGGTGACCCTGGAGCTTGCCCAGGCTGTGGCGCTCCCCAGGGCCTTCCTCATAAATGAAGCCACTGCTCAGGACACTGAGCTTCACCTGGGTCTGGTCAGCCTTGGAGAAAACCAAGTTCTGGACTGTTTCCTCGAGCACACTCTTCCTCACCACCTGGAAGCCAGCAAACGTGAAGGACGAACACAGGCCTAACACCTTCCCTCCCTGGGAAAGGTAGGCCATGAACTTCTGGGCAAGGTCTTCGGGAATAGCCTCGCGGGTGGCAACGACCAACAACAGACAGTTGTCTGACCACGGGTCTCTGAGAGCACTTTCCCGTGACAGGTGGTAGAGCGTATAGTTGTCAGCGTCCACACAGTCAACCAGAATAGACCGGATCTCCTGGAACCTACCCAGGGATTCCTGGGGGGCAGAGCCCACGTAGAAGAGAATGTTGGGGGCCTTTCCCGTGACGTTGACTCTCCTCCCTTCTCTCTCCAGGCGGGTATCACCAGCAACATCCTCCAAACTGCCACTGTGATCGTAGGGCAGATCTGGAATGTTCTCTGCAGATGCAAACTTGACAGATTCGATGGTGCTGTTCTCAAGCTCGAGACACTCGTGGCAGCTAGACAGATGGAGGGGACAGTGCTCGACAGAGCCCACTTCTCTGTCACGGTCCCCAGCAGGCTCGCTGCCAGAGGCACCCCCTTTCCCCAGAGTGGGCTCTGCACCAAGAACCTTGGGGTCCTCTCTACCCACGCACGCCATAACGTCTGACTCAGGCTTACTCTCAGTGGAAGGTTTGGGATTCAGCTGTAGGGTCTGGGCTTGCTGATCTGAGGTCTGATCCTCAAGGGCCTTCAGAGTACAGTCCTGCAAGTGCACCGCTAAAACATGAACAGAAAAGACAATCATCAGTTCAAAACCTACCGGCGCTCTACGCACTCCATGACACCCGCTGCAGGGCAGCCCGCCCTCGGCGCCCACCTGCGTCCCCACCACAAGTCTGCAGCCTCCACTGGAACCTCTCCGTCGGGACCGGAACCCGGCACTGCTCCCACCTGCTGGGAGGGTGCGCCCGACCTTCCCCAGAGTGAAATTCCAAATCCCACATCTCCACAACACCTTTCCCTTGTGAATCAGAAGACCCAGATCCGTTTGGTGGCTGGCGAACAAAGTGGGAGATGTGGAGAGGAAACTGCCTACTTACTTACAGAATCAATTGCTTGGGTGTCAGTCTCCTATAAGGAAACTGAGAAACAAAAAAGGCACACATCTAGCATACCCAGGCAGAGCCCACGCAGAAGGGGCTCTTGGGACACTTCTTAGGATCAGTGGGGGGAAAAGTGTCTTCCCAGGATCCTATCTCAGGACCTGAATAGAAGTTTACAATCACTGATTCAAAAAACATTGATGGACCCCTTGCTATGCACCTGACATCGTATCAGGCATACGCACATGCCAAATGGGGAAATTAAGTGAGTTACAAGGATTTCCAGAGCTGGTAACAGTCATTTGCTCAAGATACAAATGAAGACTTTCAAGGACATAGAAACTCAATTTTTAAGTCTAATTAAGAAAGAACATTTTGGGGGCGCCTGGGTGGCTCAGTGGGTTGAGGCCTCTGCCTTCAGCTCAGGTCATGATCCCAGGGTCCTGGGATCGAGCCCCACATCAGGCTCTCTGCTCAGCAGGGAGCCTGTTTCCTCCTCTCCTTCTGCCTGCCTCTCCCCCTACTTGTGATCTCTGCCTGTCAAATAAATAAATAAAATCTTTAAAAGAAAAAAAAAAAAGAAAATATTTTGCATGTTTCCTGAAAAAAAGATGTATCCCAAAATATTGTGACATATATACATATATATAGTAAAAAACTCTTAGAATTAGAACTTTGTGCTTTCCATTCAGTCAAACTACAGTCTACGAACTTGTTATACTGTTTATAGACTGTGGAAAGCAAATGTTATATGGGTTCTACATTTGCACGCCATCTTGTGGATAATGCAATTATGGGAAATCCTTGTTTAAGAATTTTTTTTTTTAAATCTTCATTTTATTTATTTGACAGACAGAGATCACAAGTAGGCAGAGAGGCAGGCAGAGAGAGAGGAGGAAGCAGGCTCCCTGCGGAGCAGAGAGCCGGATGTGGGGCTCAATCCCAGGACCCTGGGATCATGACCCGAGCCAAAGGCAGAGGCTTTAACCCATGGAGCCACCCAGGCGCCCCCTTGTTTAAGAATTTTAAAAGCACTGGGGCGCCTGGGAAGCTCAGATGGTTAAGGGTCTGACTCTTGATCTCAGGGTTGTGAGTTCAAGCCCCATGTTGGGCCCAGCATGGAGCCCACTCAAAAAAAAAAAAAAAGAAAAAAAGAAATTGAAAAGCACTATCGATATACTTAGGGATAAGCATCTCAAAAAAAACTAATACACATGTATGAATCTCATACCGTTATAATTCTATCCAACCTACTGACCGCATTAAACTGAAGATAAGCATTTGCTTTACGCCACATTGAACAAGAGGGTTCAACAGTCTTTAAGCTAATAACCAATGGTCTCCCGATAAGACAGAAACATTCCTTTTTTTTAAGTTTTTATTTAGTTAAGTAGTGTCTATACCCAACATGGGGCTAAAACTCATGACCTAGAGATCACGAGTTGCCTGCTCTTCTGACCCAGCCAGCAGGTGCCCCCGATGGAAACACTTCCAGGGTCACGTACAAACGATCTTTTGAGGTACCAATCCATCAGCCATCTGGAGTCTGTCTTCCAGGAACGCCACACCCAGCTTACTGAAGTCATCCACGCTTGCTTCAGCGATTAACTGGTAAGGGTCCCCAGGTCTGTAAGCTAACGGCAAGCAGCAGTCCGACCACTTCACAATCTGAGAAAACACGAGTGAGGGAGGAGGAAGAGAAAGACAGTGAGATTGTTCTTCTCTAAAATAAGCAGATACTTTTCCCTTTAGTTCCCACCCCGAAGTTACGGTCAAACATAGTGAGTTACTGGAGACTGCATTTTATTACCATCAAAGTTGTTCTGGCTCCAACATTCTTATTTCTGACAACAGGGCTTCCAAAGCACTACATACAACCCTCTCTTTTATTTTTTTCTTTTTTTTTAATTTTGTATTTAAATTCAATTAGCCAACATGTGTGGCATTCAATAATTGATCAGTCGCGTGTAACACCCCGCACTCATCACCTCATGTGCCCTCCTTGATGCCCATCCCCCAGTGACCCCGTCCCTCTCTTTTAAGAGCAAGCAGTTGAAGGCTCCACTGCTTTGCAAGGAGCTGAAAGGGGAAAGGGCCATTTTCCAGCATGGAAATACATCAGTGTGCCCTTTAGTAACAGGAAATAGGAGAAAGCAACAGGTCCACAATATCCAGTGATTTATAATGTAACCTGTAGACCAGCTTTGCCCTGGTGTGGTCTGAGATCAGCTGCACTGGGACCCCCTCAGGCACATGTATGCACCTCCCCGTCCTGGGCCCCGAGCTCTCTCTGGAGCTCCTTACGCCCTGCACGCCTCAGCCCTGCAGCCTCAGCCCCGGAATTGGAAGTTCCACATGGGCCTTCCCCTCGATTCCTACAACTGGGAAAACAACTGTCAAGGACCATCCAGAGAGCTCCCGCCTGTCCCAATGCACATTCCCACCACAAGGGGGCAGGGAAACTGACCGCTAAAAAAACTCAGTCCTTGACGGGGGTGGGGGGGGGGGGGGGGAAGCGGGGGGGGGGTGGGGAGGGGGGGGGGGGGGGGGTGGGAAGGGGGCGGTGGGGGGGTTCTATGAGAAGAATGTGAACCTGGGATAAGAAGGGGAGCCCTGGGGGGTGGGTTAGGAGCCTGACTCTGGAGTCAAGGACCTGGGTCTGGGTCCAACTGGACTTTTCTTAGTTGCATGTCCTCAGGCAAGTCTCAGAATGTCTCATTCATAGAACAGGAATAATGATGTGAGCACCAGTCATCCTGTGGGTTTGCTGTGTTAACAAGATTCCAGAGTACATAATGCCACCAGCAGAGAGCCTGGGGCAGCAGAGTGCTCAATGATGAAAGCCACGATTTTTGGCTATTATGAATCTGGCTTTAAAAGCAAGTGGCTAGGTTGGGTGATGGACACTGGGGAGGGTATGCGCTACGGTGAGTGCTGTGAAGTGTGTAAGCCTGATGATTCACAGACCTGTACCCCTGGGGCAAATAACACATTATATGTTAATAAAAATATTTTTTTTTTAAAAAAGCAAGTGGATAGAGTGGTCTTTTTAAAAGATGCCATGAAGAATTTCCCTACTTCCCAAAACAAATCATCTCAGGAATACACTGCCCCAAATCTCATAATTGGAGATAAATAATTTTGAATTCCATTTTTTATACTGATAGGTTAAGTTTTTAGAACTAACTTTTGCTGAACAATGAGAAAGTGCTGATAATATCAATAAAACATCACCTTGAAAGCACTGAAGAAACGATTAGATAATGAAGCATGGTGGGCCCAACGCTGGGGTAAATCCTGACCCTGCGAGGGGAAAGGGAATTCCCATGAGCCAAGCCACCACTGCCTTGAGGGAACTTGCTCACCCAGGAAACGAGGGGTTCAAAAGTCGACAATTGGCATAAGGACAGAAAGACAGATCAGTGGAATAGAACTGAGAGCACAGAAACAAACACACATACACACCTACAGACAACTGATTTTGGACAAGGTTGCCAAGACAATTTAACAGCGACAGAACAATTTTTTCAACAGACAGTGCTGGTACAACGGGATATCCATATGCGAAAGAATGAAAACAGACCCCCTACCTCATGCAAAAGTCAAGTCAAACTGGGTCAATTCCTCCATATCAGAGCTAAAACTATAAAATTCTTAGAAGAAAACAGGTGTAAATTGTCATGACCTCAGACAAGGCAATGGTTTCGCAGACAGCATATCAATCTTGTACTTTTGAAAAAACCAGATAAATGGGACTTCATTAAAATCTGTGCTTCAACGAATAGCTTCAAGACAGTGGAAAGACAATCCACAAAATGGGAGAAAATATTTGCAAATAACATATCTGATAAAAAGACCTGTACCCACAATGTATAAAAATGTAGAAAGAAAGAACTCCTACAACAATAAAGACAAAACATCCAATTTAAAAATGGACAGAGGCAGGGCGCCTGGGTAGCTTAGTCGGTTAAGCATCTGTCTCCAGCTCAAGTCACACTCCCAGGGTCCTGGGATGGAGTCCTGCATTGGGCTCTCTGCTCAGCAGGGAATCGGCTTCTCCCTCTCCCTCCGCCCCTCCCCGCTGTTGGTGCTCTCTCACACATGCTCTCTCACTCTCTCTCTCTCAAATAAATGAGCAAACTTTTTAAAAAAAACGGACAAGGGATCTGATCAGACATTTCTCCAAAGAAAATATACGAATGGCAATAAGCCCTTGAGAATATGCACGACCTCCCTGATTAGTCATAGGGAAGCACAGATCAAAACCACGATGAGAAACTTCAGCTCTGCTGGGATGGGTATAATCAAAAGGATGGATTCCAACAAGTGTTGCTGAGGATGCCGAGAAATCAGAGCCCTACTGCACTGCTGGTGGAAATACAGAACGGCTTGGCCTCTTCGGGAAAGAGTGGTACAGCTCGAAAAGTTAAACACAGGGGTGCTAGGTGGCTGGAGCAGGGGCGGTACGCTCAGTTGGTTGAGCATCTGACTCTTCATTTCAACTCAGGTCATGATCTCAGGGTCAAGAACGAGCCCCACGTCAGGGCCTGAGCTCAGCATGGAGTCTGCTTGTCCCTCTCCCTCTGCTCCTACCCCCGCTCATGCTCTCTCTATCTCTAAAATAGATAAAATCTAAATAAATAAATAAATAAAAATTAAAAACTTGAACACAGAGTTACCAAAAGACCCAGCAATTGCACTTCCAGGTATATAACTAAAAGAACTGAAAATACATGTGCACACACAAAAGTTCTAAGTAGATGTTCATAACAGCATTATTCATAATAACCAAAGAGGGGGAACAACACAAAAGTCTATCAACAGATGAAGGGATACATAAAATGTATCTCTCCATACAACAGAGTATTATTCAGTCATGAGAAAAAGAATGAAATACTGATTCATGTCACAACGTTGATGAATCTTAAATACATCACATTAAGTGAAGGAAGCCAGTAACGAAAGGTCCCGTATTACAGACTCTACTTATATGAAATATCCAAAACAGACAAATCTAAAGAGTTAGCAAGTAGATGAGCAGTTGCCAGGCCAGGAAATGGGGAAGTGGAGGGTGGCCGCTGATGGATATGTGTTTCTTTTTGGGGTGATGAAAACAGCATTAGATAGTGGTAATTGCACAACCACTGAATTGTAATTGGATACTTCGAAAGGATGAGGTTTATGGCATACGCATTATATGTCAATTTTCTATTTTTTTAAGATTTTATTTATTTATTTGATAGAGAGATCACAAGTAGGCAGAGGGGCAGGCAGAAAAGGGGGGGAAAGTAGGCTCCCCGCCAGCAGAGAGCCTGATGCGGGGCTCGATCCCAGGACCCTGAGATCATGACCTGAGCCGAAGGCAGAGGCTTAATCCACTCAGCCACCCAGGCGCCCCATATGTAAATTTTAAAAAGAAAATAATCAAGGTAGTTTGCTTATTCCCACACTGCTCCTAGACAGCCTAGATAGTGGGAGGACTCCAGAACCCAAATGTTCCAGCTCCTCCTACTAACAGGTGTGTGACCCAAGCAAGTCACTCAAATTCTCTATGCTTGGGTTTCCTGTATGTAAGGGGGAAACAGTAAGATTACCCACCTCACAAGGTTACTGGGAGAGATAAATGGGAATGATGGGCAAAGTGCCTGGTCAACAGAGGAGCACTTACTATGCTAAACATGGCATCCTGAAAGCAGGTATTCTCGGCGGGGACCATATCCCCCGGGTGGTCAAAAACTGATTTGAGGGGCACCTGGGTGGTTCAGTGGGTTAAAGCCTCTGCCTTCAGCTCGGGTCATGGTCCCAGGGTCCTGGGATCGAGCCCCGCATCGGGCTCTCTGCTCAGCAGGGAGCCTGCTTCCTTCTCTCTCTGCCTGCCTCTCTGCCTACTTGTGACCTCTGTCAAATAAATAAATAAAATCTTTAAAAAAAAAAAAAAAAAGGTTGAAACCCACTAATGGGTCTAGAATATTTGGAGGAAGAGAACCCTCGGGATTTTCTTTAAGCTCTGCGGGTAGCCTTCCCTCCACCTGATTGCCCACTTGTCCACCTCCCACCAGACCTGGAGCCAGAAGGAGCAGGACTCCCCTGACTGGCGATTGGATGGGGCTCCACATTTCACACCCTCCGCCTCCGATCCGAGATGAGCGCGGACCTGACACTTGCAGGTATGTAGCTGATTTCCAGCTTGGAGGATGGAGGAAGGATGCCAGCTCAGGGGGATGAAAGGACAAACTCTGGCCTGGGCAAGAACTGACTCTGCAGGGGAGGGAGGGTGGGAACCGTGAAAGGGCCAGCGCCAGGCTAGCGCGTCTCTGTTTTCGGGGCTGTCGCAGGCAATGCATGCATGGAGGACAAACACTCAGCCAGAGGAGACCCAGCCCCACGTCCAGTTGTTCCAAAAGTTGATTCAGCCCCTGCTGGAGCGGGCACGGGTGTGGAGCTGGGCCTCAAAGCAAGCACCTCGTGTAAAAGGAGCCAATAATTAAATTCCCAGACACCCCTGAAGGAGAGACCTGGGAGTTAAACGAACCCGGGGAAGGACAGGAAGCGCCCAGAGAACAATACACACACGTCCTGATCAGGTTTCTCAACTCAGCCAGCTGATTCCCCACCTAAGTGCATTTCCTCTTTGTAGAAACATGGCCCGGGAGCCGCAGACCATGCAA